CTTGGAAGATTTGTTGATATGAATTTGCAAAGACTCTAATTCAGCAATACATAGTAGGGTTTGGATGAATTGGTCATTTGGAAATGATGGTGTATCCATTTTATGATTAGGTATATGCAGATAATTGAGCTTAAACAGATGCCTCACCTTACGACCAGTTCCAGGAAGTTGTCTCGTTTGTGGGTCCTGCACACGACAACCATGAGTAGAAAAAGTTATTTCAAGACCAAGATCACATAACTGACAAATAGATAAGAGATTATAACTAAGTTTTGAAACTAAGAAAGCGTTTGGTAAAGTCAATGAATTTGTAGAAACATTGCTTATGTGACTAACATTCATAGGGGAGCCATCAACATAATAAATGTCAGGAAAGGAATTATTTTGTGACATTGAAGAAAAATAAGCAGTAGTTGAAGACATGTGATTACAACAACCAGAATCAAAATATCAAGGTTTAGTACTTGGAGCAGCAAATAAGGTAGTAGAAGCATTAGGAAGATTTAATATCACTTGTTTTAGAGATTCAGGGTTGACAATAGGTTGGTCTATCACCTTTTTAGCAACCATTGCAGAAGCAAGATGAGTCATTTTCTTTCAAAACTTGCCATAAAATTAGTAGAACTCACAATACTAAAAAAGTCTCTAAAAGTATGAAAAAATATATGTCAAGGTCGAAATTACAACTCAATAAAATACCTCAAAAAGGGTATGAGAATTGAGAATAAACAATCTAATCTGCAAGAGAAGAGAACCCAACAACAATGTTTCAGATTTGGAATAGATATGAAAATCCAACTTAATAACCAAGCAGTGATAACAGAAGAACCAAGAGCTTATCGCTCTGATACCATATTAGAAATCGAAAAAGAAGGAGAAATATTTGAAGAAAAGTTTATTATTTTCTTTAATAATACTGTATGTACAATGACTTATATATAAGTGTTTACAAAAAGAATATTCTAAGGTATAAAGTATATAAATTGAATATTCTAAAGTATAAAATATTTATAATAAGTATGAATATAATTTAAATTATTGTGTTCACATCTTAACAGAAATGAATAGTAGAAG